GTTGGGTAGGTGTATAGTAAGCATGGGCTTGGTAGGGTAACGGGTAGGGGGCGGGAGTTGGCCAGGGGCCCAGCACCCCGGGGCTAGGGTTTGGGTAGGGTGAGTTCCAGGAACTTTGGACGTCCGTTGGTGGTCGTTGTCTTGAACCGCCGTTTGAGCGCCCTCGACCACGTCCCCGATTGTCGTTTCCACGCCCTTGTACGCGTCCATAGCCTCCACGCTGTCCGGAGGAGGAGCCATCGCCATAATTGACACCAAAAAACCGATCCCCACTGCCGCCGTGAGGAGGGCCACGGCTGCCACCGCCGCCGTGCTGGTTGCCGCTGCCGGCGTCCCGACCTGCCAGCAGCGCCGTGCTGCTGGTTCCGCCCAGTGGAGTCCTCTGTCGATCGAGAAGGAGAAGGGCCGACCGCACTTGGAGAAAACTCGGCAGAGGATCCCGAAATGGGAGAAACGAAGTTCGGGCTTGGAGATCGTCAGGGAGGCCGCGCAGCATCTGGAGTATTAGTTGGTGCTCAGACACGGGGGCATCAACGTCATCTAACCAATCCGCAATATTCCTGAGCTCTTGACAATATGCAGCCATGGGGGTAGATCCTTTGACGGTGGTGTGAAATTGATGCTCGAGTTGCATGGCTCGAGCGTGCTTATTGTCGTGAAACAAATCATGAATCATCTTCCAGAGAGCAGATGCAGTAGTGAGAGAAGAGAGAACGAGATCACACACCTCATCTGTGATGGTGGAGAGAATCCATCCCTGGAGGATAGCATCAAGTTGGAACCATTCATCGTCGTCGTCGGAGATGGGAGCAATAGAGCCTTTGAGATAGCCATGGAGATTGAATCGCTGTGCAAGAAGGAGGAACAAGCGGCTCCACCTTTTATAGTTTGGTTGAGAAAAACTGAGTTGAATTGGAACATGAAGTTTGACATTTGAGACGGAGAAAGCAAGATGGGGAGGTTTTGGGCTGGAGGATTGAGATGTCACCTCACTGTCCGTCATGGTAGAGGAGGAGCTGCCGGCCGAGGGAAGAGGGAGGGGGTGCGGCGGCGCTGCTGTTCGGCGAAGGGAGGAGGAGGCCGAAACAAAGGGGAGAGATTTTTAGGGTTTTTAGTGTGGCTCCGATACCATGAAGATTTGTATTTTCATTGATTAATTATGTGAGGAGTACATGTATATATATATATATACAACATCTCAATCCTAGTTATGGTAGGAGAGGTATTCTAGGAAAGCTATACAAGTTTGGAAACAAATCATAATACAATAATATTAAATATATTTAATATATTTAACATACGATGGCTTTGTTCTTTGGCAAGGCAAACAGTAGCGGGAGCAGTTTACGCCAGCTCCGAACGGCGGTCATGATGGCGCTACTATAAAGCCAGTTGCGGAGCATGGTCTTGTTCTCCGAGGCGGGGCGGAGTGACGGCAACAGACCTGAGGTGCAAGAACGGCTAGTAGTGACGGCGGCGAGTCTGAGCAGCGGCGGTTGGTTTGAAGTGCGAAAATGACCAGATCCCAGCGGTTGGAGTGTCAGCTACGAAATCGAGTAGAAATTGGAGTCTTCCGTGGTCGGCTGGCTTCAACGGAAACGTTGAAGCGGTCGTGAGGACTCCAATAGTGGCAACGACAAACTTTGGCTTCGTCAGCAGTAATGACCGACTTTGGTGGCTGCGGCAGATATGGACGGACAGTTCTCTAGGGATGAGTAGCTAGAGGCGCCGGCAAAAGAAAATTGAAATCATCATCCGGCGACAAAGAGAGTGGCAACAAACTTTGGCTCCCATGTCCATCAAAGCCAAAGATTACCTCAGTGCCGGCAACGGAGGACTTCCGGTGCTAGGTGTCAACAGCGGTTCCTTATTGATCCTCTCCCCACGCTCCTCCAGCCCGTGGTAGATCTCAGGGCCGGCGGCGGAGTCGGGGAAGCAGTGACGACGCTAGATATCTTGCAGTGCGTTAGACATGAGACGGAGCCCGTGCCTGCGCCGCTTTGGAGATCGGCTCTTCCGCTTTGACGACAAGGATAACTTTCTCCGATGGCGGGGCAACGGTGTGCGGCATCGAGGAGGCGCGGAGGTCGAATTTTGGCACTCGATCCAGATCTTTCCCACACTCCGTGCAGATGCAGTGAGAGGCCTCAATGGTATGGACACCAATAAGAACAACTGGATGTGTTCTTCTGCGGCGATGGTGGATTTTTCAGAGTGTGATTCCAATTAAGGAGCAAAGGCGAAAAACTTGGAGAGATTTGTGGGTTTTTTTATTTTTGTTCCTTCTTTGTGGTGGTGAGAAGAGAACAATGGAGCATTGTCCCTCTTTTGCTTTAGGGACGAATTGGCCATGAGATCATATCGTTCCCCTCTTCCTCTCTCTCTTTTTTTTTTGAGCCACAAATTTGCCCAACAATTTGGGTCCCTCTTGAAGAAAATAAAATGGAGGAATTGAAAATTCTTGGCCTTTTGTTTAAGTCGCACGGATGGCGCCAAAATGATGGTGTAAATTATCGACCGGTATATCGTTTTTAGCCAGGCAAAAACGATAAACTAGTCTAAAAAATACACCAAAATATAAACACGGGGATTTTGACGTGGAAACCCAAATCGGGAGAAAACCACGGGCCTTTTTTGGCGGTACCTTGCCAACGGGGGATTTTTATTAATATCGGGGGGTTGTACACGATACAAGATTTGGCTCGGAAGCCATTAATAGAAGCTTCAAAGCTTCTTGAAGAATGAAAATACAAGAATTCTAGAGAGAGAATGTAATGGGCAGGGAGAAGAATGTAAGAATGGCGTCCCTTAATATTGAGGGGGTGCCCTCCTTTTATAGAAGTAGCTGGAGTATCTACGGAGGAATATTTTCTTATTCCTCCATTTTATTAAACAGGCGTGGTTTGACCGTTCTTCATAAATAATTGAAAAATATGGGCCGAGCCACGTATTATTTCCCATCACACGCAGTTTCAATATCTCTAATGTATGTATACATAATCCATGGATTATAAACAATTTACCAAAATTATTTTAAAAGTAATCTAAGTGGACATAACACGAGACTGAAAATTTGAAATACACTCCCTAAATCATAATTGGCATGTGAACTGATGAGTTAGATCTAGTACAAGAATTGAAACAGAATCCAAATGCAAGGAGTGTTTGAAGGATAGGGTTGTACATGAGCTAAATATATATATAAATATGCTACGGAGGAATTAATAGGGAGTAAGAGGCTGTTTGACAACTTCTGAATAGGTAAGTGCTGAACCAGTAAGAGGTCTGAACCATTAAGTGTTGAACCAGTAAGAGGTCTGAACCATTAAGAGCTAGTATATTGCTTAACTATTCAGAGGCAAATATCTGATCATTTCAGATAAGAGGTCTTAACCATTCAGACTCTGTATAATACGAAACAAACAGTCTGAACCATTAAGTGCTGAACCATTCAAACATCTGAACCATTAAGAGGCTGAAACAAACAGCCCCTAAGTGTGAGAAGTAATTTTAGCGGTCATTCTTTCCCACTTTTGTAGGAACCAAAGGAAATTATTCTTCAAATTCCACTATGGTAGGAACCAACAGAAATTCTTCTTCAAAGGTACCCATTATTGTTGCAACTACAGTTGGAATTATATTCACAACCGCGGTCTTCTGTCTCGTGAGAATGAGGCGACGTGTCACAAAGACAAATGGTATACGTTTAAGAACAGGTTAGAAAATGTACCAATCCAAATTTGATTTATTTATGGACCATGCTACACTTACACCAACAAATATACCCCATTTGTATATCACAGTTTTGCACAAACATTTCGATGATTTACACCGACATAAGTGTTGGTGCGTTAATAAAAATTCACACGGACACAAATGTTGGTGCGTTTAACAAAAATTAGTTTTACACCAAAACAAAATGTTGGTGCAAAACTGCGGGTACAAATCTTGGTGTACACATAGCATAATCCTTTATTTATTATTGGTATCACTGCTCTCTTCGAATTAATTCCTAAGTAGGGAACATTTTGAAAAAGGATTCCCAATCAGTGCAATACACCAAAGTCAGTTGAACAGTACACGAAAATCAGATGAACAGTAGTACTCTTTGTACCCCATTGTACCTAAAATGGCATTTTTCACCCAATTTAGCATTTTTTCACCCGGGAGTATGTATTTTATTTTGTTAAATTTGTTTAAAACATTGGAACTCAATTTTGAAATTCAACGTATATTATATTCAATTTCTTTAAATTTTTTTGTTCTATTATTTAATATAAGCTTTTAGCCAAAAATTTAATTTATTATGTTCATTATATCTAATTATTTGAGTTCAAAGAGGCAAAAAATCAAACTATGATGATTTTTTTTTGAGAAAATTACTAAAATAAAATCAAAACAAAGTTGAGTTGTTTCTTAAATTTCTATGTATGTAATTTATTTAGACTTTTTAAATTTAAATGTTGTAGAGTATTAAATTTTTAAATGTAACTTCTAAATTTACTTTTGCACCTTACTCATCTAACTTTTCTCAACTATTACACCTAACTTAACTCAAATCCTGCACCTAACTTAAATTCCATCAAGAAAATTTGGGGGAAATATTCCAAATACAAGGATGGTGTATATGCTGCATCACGCCCTTTCCCAATTTCTGAAGAGCGGACTTGGAGGTGCTTTATTCAAAAGGCCACCAATCAATATGATGAGCTTGGAGGTACTTATGTATCTCTTTTGGGCAATAACGCGTGTGTGTTACACGCTTTTTTTATATTATTCTGTTCTAAAACAAAAATTAATATTGTAAGATTTATATTTTATTTATCTATTTTTCATTAATAAATTGTCTATTATTATAACAATAATAAATGAAATGAAAAAAGACACTACAAAAAATTGACTTTTTGTAACAAGGTAAATGTGACAGACTCTAGAATTTGCCACAAATACTCCGTTAAAAAAAGTATTTGTGGCAAAATTTGATGTAAGAAATGTATTTCTGGCCAAATTAGATCCCACAAAAAGTCAATTTTTTGTAGTGATAATTTTAATCTACACTAATTAAAAAATACATAATATAAAAAAACTAAAATTTTTTAAAAAAATGGTAAGTTTTTGTTAATTAATAGAGTCAAATTAAAGGGTAGATGGTGTTGCTTTTCAACATGTCAGTCCGGCCCCAACTCTCAATATGTCAGTACTCAGTAGGAGTTTCACTAATTGGGAATGTATTTTCAAATTTTACCCTGATTGGGAAATCCCCCGCTCTCTTCTTGTCTTACAATCTTATAATATTCCTCATCCATTCTCTTTTGTAGACGTAAATGGCATTTCAAGTGAATCTTCGCAATATGATTTTGCTACTATTCAAGCTATTACTAATGATTTCTCTTATAAAATCGGACGAGGCGGATACGGTTTTGTTTACAAGGTATGTACACAAAGAATTGTATTTGGGAATAATTATCTTGTATTGTTGATCATTACAATATGAACAAATGGCGTATGCATATAAGATTCCATAGGTCAGGAAATGTGTAGGTAACTAAATATATACTAAAAAAGAAATCAATATACAATATATACAATGGAAAAGTACCAAAATACTAATATATATGGAAGTATATGGAAATATATTCAATTGTTTCCTTCTTTAACCCCCCCATCAAGTTAGAGCATGCAAAAGTGAAATACCCAACTTGAGAATAAGAAACTCCAGACAAGATTTCTCCAATGCATTAGTGTTAATATCTGTAAGCTGTTGGAATTTGATTAAATATTCTAAAGAAAGAAAAATAAGAAAAAGAAATAAAAAAAAGAAAAAGAAAAGTGACATGCACTTGGCCGTACAACATGCATGTGAAGAGTTGTTTTTGGTCTTTGTTTCTATCTCTTTGGATTGGTGCAAATCAACAAATGGATTGTACCTTCTAGGCAATTACATATGCATCTACCGGTGAGTGTGGGTTTTACACACCACCAAGGTAGAGAGAGAAACATGAGAGGAATTCTACACAAGAATACCACCGGGAAAATCCCAAGGGGACTTGGTGAGCATGGGTGAGTGTAGGGAGTAACTAGTTTTAGTTACTCAGAAAAATACATCCGGGCATAGAATGTGGAAATACCTGTTTATGAGTGTCTGAAATTTAGTCTTGTAAACATGGGAGAGTTTTTTGTATATTGTCCTGAAATAGTGGAAATATAATTTTTTTCTCTCATATATTCTTCTTGTGTTTGTTCTCTCATTTTTCTGGTGTTCTCAATATTTTTCGGTATCTTACGCGCTTAAAATCCCAACATAAGCTGATGCGCAGTAGGCACATGATGCGTACAAATCACTCCATGAAGAAGTTCATCACGAACAAAATGACAATTAATCTCAATATGCTTCGTACGCTCGTGAAAGTAGATTAAAAACAATATCAAGTGCCGGTGTGCTGTCACAATGAATGGTCATGGGACAATCGTGCAAGACTCCTAGACAATGCAAACGATTCTTCAACCACTTCAACTCAGAAGTATCAGCAGCAAGGGCGGCATGATATTATGCTTCAACAGACAGCTGAGTAATTCTTGTTTGCTTCTTCATTTTCTAGGAGACGGGTGAGTTTCCGAGTTGAACAAACCATCCAGTCAAAGATCGTCTCATCAGTGGACACGCGGCCCAATCCGAATCACACCAACCTGTAAGCTAGAGACTATTATCTGCAGAGAGAATGATACCCTGTCGTGGACACCTCTTCAAGTGCCGAACAACACCTAGAGTAGCAGTCCATTGATTCAATAAAGACTCCTTCAAAAACTGTGCTAAAGTGTGCCCAACATAGGAGGGCTTCAGCCGAGTAAAAGATAGATAAACCAGACGCCCTACGAGACACCGATAAGGTTTTGGATCCGCCAGAACTGGTGCTCAGTTTAGCACAGTTCCAATAAGCTCAGTTTAACACATTGATCCTTCTATATCCGTATTATCTCCAGCAATGTTTAGATCATCAACATAAACCAAAACATGCATTACTCCCTTCTTCCCAACGAAGGAAAATAAAGAGTGATCTGAGATGTAATACTCCCTTCTTCAGTCCATACAATGACTTCTTAACATTGTACAACATATGAGAAGAATTTGAAAAACATGGTGCCAATCTCATATAAACCTCATCCTGAAGATCTCCATGAAAAAATACATTGTGAACATCCATCTCATGCAACTCTCACCCTTTAGCGGTTGCAATAGCCAAAAGTGTGTACACACTGCACAGTAGTTAACTTGACCACCGGGGAAAACATTTTTTTGTAGTCAAGTCCTTCTGCGTGATGATTGCCAAGTATGACAAGCTTGGCCTTATACCTCTCTACACTTCCACCAAATTTATGCTTGATTTTATACAAGCATTTATAACCAAGGGACTTTTTATGACAAGGAGGAAGAACAAGAGACCACATGTCATTAGATTCTAATGCATCAATCTTCTCCCGCATAACATTCCTCCATCGTTCATACTGGAACACCTTTTTGAAACTCTAGGGCTCCACTTAAGTATCAAGTACTGTGAGAAAGCATTTGTGTTTGTCAGAGAATCTCTCGTAGGTAAAATATGACGAGAGCGGATACTTGCAATTTTCTCTAACAAATGTGCCACCAACGCGGGTAACATAATATCTGAGTCGCACGTCGGGTGTTTCTCACGTCATCCACATCCTAAAACTTCGTCATATGTGATGTTGACGGTCGATTGACATATATGGAACGATCCATGGCGTCGACCGTATGTAGCTCTACATATTCTTCTTCACTTTACCTCATTCACGGTTGATCGTCTTTTGTGTCTTGATCGACCGTCTGAGACCCTTGTGGAGCGTCTTCATTCTACCTTGGACATGTTCGACCGTCATCTACAGGACGGTCTATAGGCTCATCTAGACCGTCCGTAGCTCCTCTGGACCGTCCGTAACTCCTCCTCTTCTTCGTGGTAACCGTTTAAGCGCGTGTCATTCAAAATACGTTCATTGGAGGATTTTCCTGCAGGAGTCAAGAAAGGATAAACATCCTCAGAAAATACAAAGTCCCGGGACACTTTGATTTATCGAGTGTCTGAGTAGTAAAAGTGCCATCCTTTTTTCCCTAGCGAGTAACTAATAAATATCCCAGGGTTGCTTCTTGGTGCAAATTTGTCACCATTCCTCTTCAAGTTATGAGCATAACGTCTGTATCTAAAAACACGAATATGAGTCAAAGAAGGCTTCTTTCCATAGATCGTTTGTATGGTGTAACCCCCATACAAAAATGAGGATGTGTAATTGATCAGATACACAGTGTTTGAACACAATCTCCCCAAGAGGCAAAAAGTCCTCTTCAAAGAGGCAATAAATCCCCAAGAAAAACCCTTTTTTAAGAGGCAACAAATTTCCGAGAAAGTCCTTTTCTAAGAGGCACAAAGTCTCGAGAAATTACTCTTCCAAGAGGCACCAATCACTGAGAAAAGTCCTCTTCCAAGAGGCACAAAGTCCCAAAAAAGTCCTCTTCCAAGACGCGCAAATTTCTAAGAAAAGACCTCTTCAGAGAGGCACAAAGTTTCCGAGAAAGTCTCGAGGCACAAAAAAAAAGAAAAGTCATCTTCCAAGAGGTACTAAGTCCCGAGAAAGTTCTCTTCTAAGAGGCACAAAGTTCTGAGAAAGTTCTCTTCCTGAGGCATTAAAAAGAAAGAAAAGTCTTATCCAAAAGGCACGAAGTTCCCAAGAAAAGTTCTCTTCCAAAAGGTACCATGTCCCAAGAAAGTTCACTTCCAAGAGGCACAAAGTCCTAGAGAAAAGTCTTCTTCTAAGAAGCATCAAGTTATATCCTCACCCACGAGGTGGCGAGACCCTCCAAAAAAGAAAGCCCTCTTCTTGAGGCACCGAGAAAAATTCTATTCCATGAGTCAACCCACCAAGTCTTATAGTTTCTAAATCTGTCTCGTTCTCCGAGACAGACTCAAAACTAGAAGGCATGTGATGGATTAGGGATTTTACCTAATCCAATATTATTTGAACAATACAAATAAGTCCAATTCAGTCCGATCCAAAATACAAATCAGATAAATTATCCAAGACGGAGCCATAGATATGAAGACGAAGAATATATAATTTGATGAGATGTATAAATATTTATTGGGGCCTTAAAACATATACCCCGGAGTACATGATATTGGTGGGACCTGATATATTTATATATCTTCCATCAAAGCTACAAAAAGAGGGCCCACACACATGGATATGTTTCACCTCTTCCCATTATTTAAGGGAAGCTACGGAGAGAAGAAACAGGAGACCAATTCTACATACTCAATAGAGCTCCCACTACAACGATCCTTCCTTCTTCTTCTCATTTGAAGTTTAAGAGCTTCATTAATTGTTCTAAACTTCTACAAAGATATATATGTAAACTTCTCTAAGATTAATAAAAGTTCCTCTCCTTAGCATGACACCGCCTAAAAGGGCTTGTGGTTTTCTCCCAATTTGGATTTCTACGTATAAATACTCTCTTTCCGCTTTATTTATTTATTTATTTTCTGAATTTTGTTGTTCAGTACAGTGCAGTGCCGACCCTGTACCGAGTTCGGGTCGACGCCCCAAAAAGATGTTTCCATCATATATGCGTGTGTGTGATCATTATAATTTATCGAAGACGGTAAAATTTAAACCTTGACCAATGATAATTATCAAAAGAGTTTTAATCACCGGCCGGTTTTAGTTCTAGTTAATTGTGTGATTGAAATCTTAATAAATTATTGGTGGTACTTTTTCAAAAAAATTAATTTGTGCTTGTAGTCGTATTCGTTAAAGAGTATTTCCATAATGTACTTCTAAAAAGTGCTTAAATTATCATGATATTATGTGAATGCTAATGGTACTATTTCTTCCGTTCCAGATTTTTTTTCTTTTGACTTTTTTATCAAATTTTGAGACTCTTTGATTAAACATATATCAAATTAATCATAATTTAAACAAATGAAATCTTATACTCCTTCCGTCCCAGAAAACCTTTCTCCTTTTTTTTATCCGTCCCAAAAAACACTTCTCATTTCTATTAAAAAGTCACTTTTACCCCTTACTTTTTCATACCCTACCTATCACATTATACCTTTTTACTAATAATCTATCCATCAAATCATACTTTTACCCATCACATCAAAGGACATTTTTGGAAATTCAATACCAAAATACACCCCCCTTAAATCCCTCTCCAAAACCAAAACTCCAATGTTTTCCGGGACGGAGGGAGTAGAAAATTTGATATATGAAAATGTATATATCAAGATGAAAAGCTAAATATATTGAATTTACATTATGTTTAAATATATATTCTTTTCACAATTAATGATCAAAGAATATCACTGTTTGACGAAAAAGCGAAGATAGAAAAGTTTTTCTCGAACAAATGTAGTGTATGAGAAGGTGTATTGATTCTTGGCTGCATCTAAGGTACGGTTTCATGATATATATGCTCATCAATCTTTATTTTTCATTCATTAGGGAAAACTTCCTAATGGCCAAGACGTAGCTATAAAAAGGCTTTCAAGAAGCTCGGGACAAGGTGTTCGAGAGTTCACAAATGAGGTTGAAGTAGTTGCCAAGCTCCAACATAGAAATTTAGTTAGATTGTTGGGGTATTGCTCTGAAGTTGAAGAAAAGATACTCGTCTATGAATTTGTGCCTAACAAAAGCCTTGATTACTTTTTATTTGGTTAGCTCCAAGTCTATCTTATCTCCTTAGCTTTTACCATTTCAGTTTCCCTTTTACTTGACACTTCTTGTCATTGACCAACACATCATATTACATATATATATTTGTGTCATTTGTGTGTTTCTACCTCTTTTCAAATGTGTCCAGGTCAAGAGAGTCAATATCTTTTGGATTGGTCAACACGGTACAAGATTATGGAAGGAATAGGACGTGGACTACTCTACCTTCACGAAGATTCTCGTCTTAGAATTATACACCGTGATCTCAAAGCAAGCAACATATTATTGGATGCAAATATGAGTCCAAAAATAGCAGATTTTGGCATGGCAAGAATTTTCGCATTTGATCAAACAATTGAAAGTACTAACAGAATTGTTGGAACATAGTAAGTTATCCGCCTAAAATCTATTTTTTTGCATTCTTTATTGCTCTATATTCTTTTGGAATTGTTTATAAAATACCTCAAAAGTATATAAATGTTATTACGGAGCACTTAAATGTGAATATATTGCTTTTAGTGGTTACATGTCCCCTGAGTACGCAATGCATGGAGAGTTTTCTGTGAAGTCAGACATGTTCAGCTTCGGTGTTCTTATCTTAGAGATTATTTCCGGAAGGAAAAATAATAGTTTCCGCCAATCAAATGGAGCACGAGACCTTCTGAGCTATGTGAGTATAATTTTTTTAAATAAATAAACACATTTCACTATCTCATCCCACACACTGTTCCATTTGTAATACTATCTTTTTGATCGTGTCATCTCAACTATAAATGTGTTGTGTCAATTACATATGAACATTGAAGTCATGGTGTCAATTATTATAGGTCTGGGAGCAATGGTTAGATGGAAGACCTCAAGAGATCATAGATCCAAATCTTAAGAGATTATATATAGTGGAAGAAGTCATCCAATGTATACACATTGGTTTGGTATGTGTTCAAGAAAATGCTGACAAAAGACTTACGATACAAGAGATTATGTTGATGTTCAGTAGTTATTCGAGTAACAATTGGCCGGTACCTTGTGAACCTGCATTTTATCGAAGTGTGAATGAGGACATACATATAGAGCCAATAGAGGCTTGTCAATCTCTCACATTCAATGAAGTTTCAATATCTGAACTATGTCCAAGATAATGACCAATTTCCACTTGATAATATTATGGTGACATGTGGGTGTACATCTACACCCTTATTATATAAGGGCCTATAATGTTAGGATCTCCCTTTTTCCGTCCATTTTTACTGTTTACATTAACGTCGTTTGGTCCTTCTCCACTCACGGCTTCTCATTTTCATCCTTTACCTTCGTAGCTTCTACACAATGCGTCTATGCTCCCACTTTCCATTTTAGACTTTTATTTCAGCAATTGAATTCTAGGTTTTAATATTGTTGACGTTTGTACTTCCAACCTTGCTCCGCTGCAATTTTTTGATTTTTTTTTCTCTGGGTAAGTGATTGCAAGCATCCCCTCTCTTTTCTACAATTGATTTGCTGGGAGGTAGGGTAGGATTTTCTCTTTCCCATAATTTTTTTCTTCTTTTAGACTAGTGATATTTTTAATGTCAATCCCATGAATTGACTTGGAATTCTAGCTTATTTTTTAATATTTGGTGTTATGAAATTGCTTTTTAATTATTCATTTAAAAGATTCAAATTGAGTTAGATTCAAACATAATTCTTTTTCTTATGTTGATTTGGTTTAGTTTTTGGAGGATGACTAATTTTTATTTCTCGAAAATTGATATTTCAAGATTTGAATTTGGTATCAATGTTAATATTTGGGTTATAGGAGTTTGATATGATGTTAGATTCAAACTTGTTTGAAAAATGTAATATTATTACATTTCTTTTCCAGTTTTTTTTTTTGGATCAAGTCAAATTTTAGAGATTTTTTGAATTTTAATAGTTGATATAATTTTCATTTTGGGAGTTTCAAATTTGTTTTACATTGTATGATCTCTAATGACTTATCCAATTTTCCAAAAGTGGACGATACTGCAATGCATTGTGAATTTGTGATCTGCAATTAATTGTGTTCTAATTTCTTACTCCCTTCGTCCCTAAATAAAGTTCCATTTTTTACTTTTTGAGGATTTAAGGGAGGGATATTTTTGTGTTGACTTTCCAAAAATACCCTTGATGGGATGTGTAAAAGTAAGATGTGATAGGTAGATTATTAGTAAAAAGGTATGATGTGATAGGTAAGGTATGAAAAAGTAAGAGGTAAAAGAGGTTTTTTAAGGGAAAAGAGAAGTTTATTTAGGGACAAAGAAAAAATGAAAGAGAAACTTTATTTAGGGACGGAGGGAGTATATGATTAGGAGTTCATTAAATACTAGAGATTTTTTAAAAGTTCGTGTTTTGAAAGTTTGATCTCTTTTTTGATAGTATATATTTTTCAAGTCATATTAAAATGTCAGTTTTTGTTTGCTTGAAAGCTTTTTTACTTCCAAGAGTTTGATTTTATAGCAGTGAACATAACACTAAGAGTCAGTTTGGTATACGGAATTGATGGAATTGAATTGGAATTGAAATTTCATGGGGATTCAATTCCATAGAATTGAATTCACCAGTTCCAATTCATTTTTTGCACTGTCAATTTCAAATCCACATAATTTTTGTGATACCAAACAGGCAAACATAAGAATTGGAATTGAAGTCCTCAATTTCAATTTCATAGTTTAAATTCCGTGTACCAAACGGGGGGTAAAAATTCAAAATTTCTCTCCTATGCTATGAAGTGTGCCATTTCAGGCAATATTAACTTTATCAAGAACAAGTAAAAAACTAACAATTAGATTCACATATGAACTCAGCTACCCACAGTCACGTTTCATCCATTAGTCAATCTTAGGCTCTTTAGCAATAGTATCAAATTTCATATGACACAGTTGACATTGCCATTCAAAAGTTGGTAATCTGAAAATATTTTCTTCTTTTGATTTAGGAGTTATTAGCTATTTGTGTTGCATTCAAACATCATTTCTTACTTGCAGTTTGAATGCATTTCATTTTTATTTCTAGATTCTTGCCCATTACCCACAACTTAGTGATGGTTTTTGGTTTAGTGTAAATTTTTGTATACTTCAATTCTTTTTTACATGTAGGTTTGGTGTTAGATTTTTACTTCAATTCAATTCTTATTTACATGTAAGTTTAGTTTGAATTCGCGATTTCATTTCAAATTGTATAATTTTTTACTAATTCTCATACAAAGTATAATTTCAAGAGCTTGAGAATTAAAGATTGCAGGTGGAGTTTAACATAATTCACATAACATATACTCCCTCCGTCCCAAAAAGTTTGTCCCATTTCATTTTTTGTGCATCCCAAAAAACACTTCTACCCACATTTAAAATGTCTGCAATTTACTACATTTATCCTTTATTATGGGTAGAAGGCATTTTGGAAGTTTTTTTTGACATTTGAGACGATAAAGAAGTATTTTATGAGATGCACAAAAAATGAAACGGGACAGACTTTTTGGGACGGAGGGAATATAATTTCTTATTTAGGTCATATTTTAATATCAGATAGTAATAAAAAACCAGAAGTCGCAATTATTTTATAAGGAGTATTAAAAGAAAACATGTTTTTGAACAATAATGTGTTTAAGTGCATGTTTGTTGCTTTCTTTCTTTCTGAATAATTTTCTTTATTACTATTGTTGTTATTACAGAGTACTATTGTTTTTATTTGATTTCTTGGGCTCAACATGATGAATTGAAAAAAACATATTTGAAGTTAAGTACAAGAATTGTTAACAACCACTACTAAAAGTTTTGTAATGTTTCATATGTTAAAATTTTTGTGGTTGTAAAGAGAGATATAACATTATATTCTAAATGGTTGATGTTGAAGGAGATAATCTAATATGCCTTTTTTGTAAACACTAGCTCCAAAATGGCTCAAAGGACAAAGGTCAAAAAAAATTTACCTATAAAATACTTCCTCCGTCCAATTTTAAAGTTTCCATTTTTCTTTTCGGTCCGTCCACAAATAATGTTCCCATTTCTTTTTTTAGTAATTTTTGTTGAAATGATTTGAATACCCTTACTTCCTATTACTTACGGAGTATTTCTTTTTCTGGTTCCTCCTGCCGCAGGCCCCCTCCCCCACCCCCCTCTCTTTCTTCTCCTTTTCTTCAGTCCTTTCTTCTACCTCTCTCCAGAAACAGAAAATTACTCACGGGTGACGCGAGTTTTGTTGAAATAACTCTCAGGTCCCTCTATTTTCAAAAAGACAGCAGATGTCCTTACATTTTGTTGTAATGACTAGAATGAGACATTTCATCCAATATTTCATCTATAAACGTTAATAAATGTATTTTTTTCCTATTCTTTTCTAAATGTTTTAAGGTAATAAATCTTAAGTCGCTCCTTTTTTTATTTCTTTGTTTTTCTTTCACTTTGTTACTATTTTTTTAAAGTGTTATTTTAGAATTTTTTTTATAAAATCGTATAAAAATTCAAAATTGTTTGTATTATATTAAAACAAATGAAATAAAAAAATTTTAAAAAAAGAAAAAATAAGGTAATGACAAAATAGGAAAAAAAAAGTATTGGAAAAATAAGAAAAAAATTCATTTATTAACACTTACGGATGATGTATTGGATGAAATATCCCCTTTCAGTCATTACAACAAAATATAAGGACCTTGGTTGTCTTTTTGAAAATAGAAGGACCTGAAAGTTATTTCCACAAAACTCGCATCACTCGCGAGTAATTTTCTGCTCCAGAAACTTTCATTTTCATCTCCTTTTTCTTCTCTCCTTCTTCTTTTCTTTTTTTTTTCTTCTCTTTTTTCTGATTTTTCTTCTCTCCTTCTTCGTTTCTTTTTCTTCTTTTTCTTATTTCCTTCTTCTTCCTCTCCCTTTTCTTCTCACATCCACCCTTCCAATTTGGTCCAGCCGCAGACCGCCCTCCATCTTCATCTCTTCTTCTCGTCTTCTTCTTTATTTTCTTCTCCCCCTTCAGATTATTCAAATCTCCGTCAGATCTGAGAATTTCACTTCAGATCAGGGTTCGATTCAGATCTGGGAAGGAGGTCAGCATCAACGAAGGTTCTTCTTCTTCAAGTTATCTTCATCTTCAAATGTTTTTCATCTTCTTCATATCTTCGATTTTTCTACTTTGGTGCGGGAATAGCTCGAATAGAGCCTTAAAGGTTTCCTGTGAATTCTGAAATGTTGAGATTGGGGGAAATTTCTCCGCCTTAAAGGTTGCCTGCGATTTTGTCTCAGGAGTTTTGCTCTGGTTGGTTCGGTCTTCTAGAATGATGGGAGAGGGGGAATGGTTGGACGGCAGTATGGGTGGGTAAGTGGGGTAAGGTGGAGGGTATTTTGGGAAATTCAAAGAAAATTTTAAGTTTTACGGAGTATTAAACTCTGTGCCAAGTAATGTTCTTCTTACTCTATCTTTTTATTATGTACCTCAATACTAGAGTCTAGAATCATCCTTTTTCATTTTGATGTTACTCTTTTTTTAATTTTTTAATAAAATTGTTTATTCTTAAAATTTATTTTTAAAAAAATCACTATTTTCCCCTTATATTAGGCACTTATCACACTTTTTCCCGTGGGCACTTATCGCACAAAGTGCAATACTAGCTAGTAGGGGTGTTCAAAAATATCCGATCCGAAATATCCGTCCACGATCCGGCCGATCCGATCTTAAAAATGAATACCCGATCTGATATTTTAGCTTTTGGATATTTCGGATCGGATACCCAAAAAAAATCGGATCGGATCGGATATGGATTCAATTTCTGAAATTTTTCGGATAACCGGATATCCGATTTTTTTTTTGCTATATGTTTTTGGAATTTTATGGATATATATTATGACTATATGTTTAAATGTAATTTTATGTTGATTTTGGAACTCAACCATTTTGGACTTTTTACATTAGCATTTTAGAATATTTTGTTTTAATAGTGTTTTTTTTGTTTGTTTAGAAAAAAATTACCAAAGTTACTCCTAAATTAAATTTGGTATCATTTTTTTATTCGGCCATTACCTAGTGGTGGAATTTTTCTTTTAGTAAATCTATATTGAATTTGATATTTTGAGTTGATTTTGCTATTTTACCTTTTTTTGTAAATTTTGGCTAAAAACTCAACTTTTCGGATAATCCAGTGATCCGATCCGAAAAATCAGATATCCGAATATTTTCGAATCGGATATGGAATGAGTTTTACGTGATCCGCAATTTTCGGATATCCGAATTTTCGGATCGGATCGATCCGATTGAACACCCCTACTAGCTAGTAACTATATGTGTGTGTGTCTGTGTGTGTAAAAATTGCATCATGTCATATTGTAGA